CAACAAGGCCATAGCCTTGGCAGTTTTTATGATACATTTTCATTTGTAAACATTTTGCACAAACACTAATTAAGTGTACATCAAAAGGAACTTTGCCATGAAAATTAGCAAGGCTATAGCCTTGTTGATGAAATTGTCTGATGGCTGGAACTTGAATTTTTAAGTTAAAAACTGCTTTCTGGCCTTAAAAGTCTTATGACTACCAATAAAGTACAAGCACATATCTCCATTGTGTTACGGTTTCCAAGGATTTTGAAATAAAACAGTAATTGACATTCTGTGTAGCTTTTGAGAATAAACTAGAAGATTGTTAGCTTTCTTATTATGAAAAGACACTGAACTATAGCCTTATGTCTTTAGAAAACAATATTAATTTCCAAGATATGTCTTGCGTTAGGAAAATGTGAAATTTTAATGACAGGTTTTAATGATGGTGTAAGGGCAAAACCCAATATTAAAAAATATCAATTTCAATTAAAACACTGGCATTGCACATTACAGAATTCATTGCATATAACTAACATTTTTCCTGAAATGAGGAAAATTAATAAACAAATAAAAAAATTAATATATTTTTTGTAGTTGAATCTATTATATGCACTCATTACACTTTACATATTCAGCATTTACACATATGTAAAAAAAAACAAAAATGCAGAAAGACAATATGATACCTTGTCGCTTATTAATATCCATATTCCTTTTGAAGAACTGCATTTCCTAGCCTTTAGTTTTACCAATGAATTTCTTTTGGTGAACCGCTTTCAGAAGTAACATGATCATATCACACATCTGTAAAGATAAGTAGAACGTACATGTAGGACGTATAAAGTAGTAATGCGCCACTAGTGATGAGATTTCTGAGTAAGTCAGGATAACTTCGCTGGAATACACTTTTGATAACTAGTCTGCCACTTTCCTGTGACATGACATTTTCCACTGTTCAAACGCCAAGACATATAATACATATTTACAAAATATTTCTTTAACAATTCAAATATATAACAGCCACAAGCGAAAAGGTTTAGAATTCAATTTGGCAAATGATTGTTAAGGTAAGCAGCACAGAAAAGACCGAGTAAATCTGCTTATAAATATTCATCCGACTCAATTGCACACAACAACTTATAAAATATTATGAAAAAGGCATTAATACAATAGCGGATGTAGATACAGACATTTTAATAGAAACATGATAAGGACTTGAAATTGTAGATGGCACCAGTGAAACATTGTGTGCAGCCACATTACTATACGACACAGTGTGAGCGTAATGAATGTTTCCACAGAATGTGCACAAAACTCCACTGTTCTTGCATAATACACAACAGGAAAAGTTAACCCCTTGATGATGGGAATTTCTTTCCGAAAACCGAAAATTCTCGGTTTGTGGCCCTGCGTGCTCAGCACGCTTTGAATTACAAGGTGAAAGGCTGATTGTTCGGTGGCATGCGGGCTCTACTCA